ACTTGGATATTTACGCTGTCCGAAACGGATATTTGTCACTTAGCCCTCGAATTTTACGTAAATCCTACCGGTGATTTACCAATCCTCCGCGATGGAATCATCAGATTTTTGCACAGTCGCGAGGGAGAACAGAACATCCCTTGGGACTTTAACGATTCCTATCATCCCGAAGATGTTCGCGACAACGATCCGATCAATGACATCATCAAGTTAAATAATCTCTCATTGACCTCTCGACAACATTCTAGCGCTCATCACGATTGCTGTTATACCCCTACTACCACAAGTGCAGCAACGGGTACAACCAATACGTCAACCGTGACAACCAGCGTTAGCCAATCGCTTTTATCAGCGACTTCTAATTCTTTTGTGAATCATAACGTACAGTCACATCAACTTTATAAACTGGCCTCTAAACCAAGCGACATGAGCACTAGACGGCTCCACATCGATGTTCCTCATACATACACTGGCAGATACGATTTTAATTCAAATTGATTATCAAATCTAGGACCATCAAGAACAAGATCCCATGGTCAGATTTGGTTGACAATTTGTTGGAACTTTCGACACGTTCAACGACGCTGTGTACAGGATTTCCCGTTTAAGGTCCAGACCAAAAGAAGAATAAACCCTGATGTCCCCTTCAAAAGTCGTCCTTTTGCACCGATGGCTTGTTAAGTAATAACTCTCTGGCTAGATAAACTTAGCGAAGAAGGGGAGAAAAAAAGGAGGGAGGAAATTCAAGGGATTTTGTGCTGGTAGAGGGAAATTTTATGTAATAGGAAATAATAAACGAGCCAAGGCACCGACCCATCATTCCCAGCAGGTAAACAGCCCAAATGGCCCTCAAAATTTTACAGACCATGAACAAAAGGTCAATAAAAATAGAAAGTTTGTTGAGTTGGAAAATCCAAGACGAAAGCAATATACAGGGTGTCGTTTCATTTTTAAACATAGTGAAACAATGGGACATTAAATTTGACGGTACGAATAACGTGAGCGCAGAAAATTTTTTAACTAAAATAGACGAATGTAAAGTCTTCTCGCCACTTTCAGAAAGCGATATAATTAACGCCCTACCCCTTCTACTGACCGACGTTGCTTTGATTTGGTATAGAAATTGTCGAGATCTAGGCCACCTATGGTACTCATGGTCAGAATTTAAATTGGCTTTTCGCTCAAGATTCGGCGAGGACAATTTTGATTATAGAATACGTGACCAAATACGAACTAGGACACAAGGTTCAAAAGAGAAAATAAAAGATTACTTAACTCGGTGTAAAAACACCAGAATGTCCAACACCACTTTGCAAATCCAGAAAAAAGACGGGAAACGAAAAAAGAGCTCAGTGAGCAAGGACATCACTGAACTCTTACCTCCTTCAGACGATCTACACCCTTCGACATCCGCCCAAACGAAAAACATTGATTTTAAATTTGCAGAGTACTGTGAAAGGGAGGAGAGAACCCAATTTCGAATCTCAGCCAGAATCAAGCCAAGATTGCTTGGCCCTAAAAATAGATAACTTCAACGAACGTCTTTTTGTCAAAATTAAAATTGGAAACAAGAAATTTAATGCTTTAATAGATACAGGATCTTCTCTTTCACTTCTCAGCGATACTAGCGCGAAACTAATGCATAACCTAGATTCAAACTTAGAAAGCTGTAAAATAAAAGCTATAGTTTTCCCAAACGGCGCATCAGAGAAAACTTTAGGCCAAGTCAGTTTACCCTGCGAGATAAGTTCAGTCACAAAAAAGGTTCCTTTTATTATCGTCAAAGACTTTAATTACGAATGTATCCTCGGCATCAATGCCAGTCATATTTTTAAATTACTGTTAGAGGGGAGTACAAATACAGTCAAAATAATACCGGACATTGAATTTATCGCTCCAATAACAGAACTCCTTTCTACCCCCGATAGGTCCAATAGTGAAGGCTGTTCTGCTCTTAAAGAACTCACTAGTGAGCAAATCGACGCTGTAGAGGAATTTTTGAAACTCTATGCCTCAAAACCCCAAAAACATGGTCGAACTCACCTAGTAGAACATGTTATAGATGTGAACGGTCACCCACCAAGCAGAGTCAAATTTGTTAGGCGCTCCCTCGCAATAACACACCCCCCCCCCACACAAAATAAAAGTTTTGATCTGGTGGTCTGACTATGCCTACTTTATGTTTTTTGGGTCGCAGAATCCGAATTCGAGATCCGTTTTACCCCATCAGATCAGGATCCAGCCAAACTGGCCCCAGTTTTAGAATACCCCGCTCTTGAAAACATTCGTCAACTTCGTAGGTTCTTAGGCTTCGCCTTGTGGTACAGGGGCTTCATTCCAAAACTATCAACTCTCGCGGAAACCCTAACACTACTTCTTAGGTGCGCTGAAAAATGGCGTTGGGAAGAAAGCCAAGACATAGCTTTCAAGGCTATCAAAGAAGCTTTGACAACTGCATCGGTAGTAGCGTGTCCAGACTTCTCGCAGCCATTCACCCTACAAACCGACGCCTGTGGAACGGGCTTAGTTGCGGTCTTGGCACAAATCCAGTAGGGGAGGGAACGCATAATTGCGTATGCGAGTTACACACTAACTGAAGCCGGGCGTAACTATTCGGCAACAGAACGTGAATGCCTTTCCGTAAAATGGGCAATCGAAAGGTTCAGAGCATACCTGGAAGGCGACCATTTCATAGTTGTGACTGATCACCACAGCCTGAAATGATTGAAATCACTCAAAGAACCGACCAGCCGATTGGCAAGTTGGGCTCTCGAAATACAACATCGATGTCCAATACCGTAAAGGCACGCTTAATGTCGTCCCCGATTTTCTCTCTCGTTTGGACCAAGACACCGAAAACTTGGATCCCGTCGCCACGATTGTCGATACATTGGATGAGTGGTATTTTAAAAGAAAGGAAGATGTTTTACGCAATCCCCAAGCCTTCCCTAACTGGAAGGTAGAAGATGATCTTCTATACCACCACATCCCTAAAAAAACTATTAGATTTCACAGTAGAGGAACTAACCTCATGGAAACTAGTTCTTCCTCGGGATCTCCACCCTAAAGTCTTAACCGAGGCTCATGACGAGCCTCAGGCAGGACATCGAGGTGTGGAACGTACCTTCCACCGGGTTTCACTAAGATATTATTGGCCAGGTTACTACCGCGACGTCGTCAAACTCTGTCCGACTTGCCAGACGTGCAAAACCGAACCAATGAAACCAATCAATGAAATGGGACACCGCGTCATAGAACAGCCCTGGTATAGGGTAGGCGCTGATATTATGGTACCGTATACTCCTTCCTCACCCATGTACCCTTAGCTCAGATCCTTCTGCTCTGTAAATAAAAACAGGAATTCACTAAATCACCAGGCGTCCATAAATAAAATATTATATCGTTAGTTATTTCTCTATTTTGAGAGGTAACAATATATAATAAAGAATTAAGAATGATTGTTTTAAAATAGAAAAATCAAATTACAACCTCCTGCGCATACAAGGAGGTGGATTTCAAACAACTTTGGAGGCGTTATGTTTATCATAAAATAATTCCTGTAATGTTTGTTGATTGATTATATTATTACACATGATGTATTATATACTTTATTATATAGACATCATTATCTGCTATTTTTCAGAGGGGAATTTTGTCAACTAACTTCTATAAGTAAACTATGACTGCTATGCGCGGCTCTTGAAGCGCACCGTTCACTGACCAAGCTGACTTTTTTATTTTTTTAAGTTATGATGTAAACTATCATCTGACCAATATTCAGTCGGGAGAAAATGACCGTAAAGAAATTTTTTCACGTCATTGGGGGGCCACATCCCTCCTCAAGCGCCGTAAAGTTATACAAAAATGGATCCAACTTCGGACAACGAAAACTTGTAGGATTGGGCTTATATTTTCCAAATTTTCAAACTGCGAAATTGCCCCAGGTCCTATATTCAAATAAAACGAATTTATGTAATTATCCCAAAGCAAAATCTTGAAAAACCTGATTTTTTACGTTTGAACGCAAAAAATGTTAGCAAATATCTATTACTTGCAAACTTTTCTAGTTTATAAACGCTGTACAAGGTTCTACTTACCTGTCAGTTATAAAAAAGAAAAAACAATTAAGAGGAAATATTTTTTTACTGTATTATGAATTTCGAGTGGAAAATTAGTATTAGCATGAAAACAGAAAACATGATAGAAAACTTTGTTTACAAATGAAAAATCAATTATTTAAAAATGTTTTTTTAAATTTAATATCTTTTCACAAACATTTAATTTTACAAATTCAACAAAAGTTCATTTTTTCACACATACCATTTTTCACATGCCATTTTTACAAATTTTGTAATGGTCCATCAATGTCTTACAAATTTAACGAGGACAATTCTACAACTGCCTTATGAAGTTGTGTCGCGTATCTTTTATCTCCAATGTTGTTCATTTTGAATCGTTCCCAAATTTCCATGAAATGGTGATGAATCGCTTCTCCTGCATGTTCAGACCAATAGCCTAAGCCATTGCCGTTTTCTATTGTTTCTAAACTCTCTTCTATATGTTCTTTAAGGACATGGATTTTCAAGGATTCAGAAACATCGAAAATAAGTGTACAACAAATAAAAGTGGACGAAACTAAACTTTACTAAAACTAAACTAAACTAAACTTTACTTCTGATTCCGATATCCTGATCAGAATCAAAATAAAAGTATTTTTGAATTTTATTTTGATTTCGTGAGGTCCCTGATTTTAAATAATTGAACAAGTCTAACCTTAAACTGTTTTTTAGTATAAATAAAGAGACACATTTTTTTGTTTAGTGAAAAAACATTTTCTTTGTTTGTGATTTGCGATTTAAATTTGAGCAGTTTTATTACAAATTTTGGCATATATTCTAACTATTTTAAAAATTACATATTTAAAAACTAATTAAAATAAACTATCTTTTTTTACAAAATAGGTTTTTAAAACTAGTTAGACTTTTAATTTGTTCTTTTAGGGACCCAGAGAAGAAGACCGTTCCCCAGAAAGTGCTGCAACAAGAATTGGTTTTGGATCGCGTCTTCTTCAATGCTTAACAGCTGAAAAGTTAAAAGAAGCTGGCTACGAAAGAAAAACATTTCAATTAGAAAGAGACCTCGATGGTCCAGAGTGTTTAGTGATGCAAAGTACATTACACGTTGATAAAGCTCGACAAATGTCTCAGAGAGAACTTTGGGAAGTTATTGGACGAGAACTGATGACTGGTCCTTTAGCTTCAAAAGATCGAAAGTACTTAGTCTTTCTCTCATGTACGAGATATCAAGGTGCTCCAAATCCAAGGACACACAAAGATACTCTTGCTAGAACTCAAGGACACGCAGCTCTTGGAGGAGGCGGACTAGCACTATTTGGTTCTGCTTGTCTCCATACGTGGCCCACTTGTATGGCGCAGGTAAATATTTGTTAAGAAATAATTTTTTTAACTCTCAGGCACAAACATAGCACTTTTAGATACCTGACGTCCGGATGTATAGCCAATCATTTATTGTCCGTCTGAAAATGGTAACCTAACAGCACGACGTTTGTGCCTTTTGAATACCAGGTGTGTAAAAATAAAACCGGAATTTTTTAATAGAAAATACAAGTTTATTACTCGATTATAACATAAAATATCTTATGTGAAGTATTGTCTCTTGCTAGCTATACATGTTTCCAATCTATCTGGCAAGTTATGGATGCCACGCCAAAAATACTGTTCCTCTTTTGAGGCAAACCAATCATCAAGCCATTTTCCTACACTTTCGTACGAAGTGAAGCGTTGCTTTGCAAGTGCGTGTCCCATCGATGAAAATAAATGATAATCAGACGGAGCCAAGTCTGGTGAGTAAGCCGCATGGGAAAGAATTTCCCAATTAAACTCCTCAATTTTTTCCTTCACCTTTTTTGATTTGTGTGCTGGTGCATTGTCATGCAGTAAAATTACTTTATGCTGCCTATTGTGGTATTCTGGTCGTTTTTCACGTAAAGCTTGATTCAAGCTTATCATTTGTTTTCGGTACTGCTCAACATTAACACTTTCGCCTGGTTTTAACAACTCGTGATATATCACGCCCTTCTGATCCCACCAAACACAGAGCATTGTCTTTCGTCCAAAACGATTTGGCCGTGCAGTTGATATCGATGGTTCACCTGGATTTACCCAGGACTTTTTACGCTTAGGATTCTCGAAACATATTCACTTTTTATCGCCTGTCACAACTCGATGCAGAAATGACTTTCTTTTGTACCTATTAAGTAGTGTTTCGCAAATGGTTTTTCGGTTTTCTTGCTGTCTTTCATTTAATTCGTGTGAAACCCATTTTCCCAACTTCTGAATCTTTCCTAAGGCTTTCAAACGTATAAAGACGGCTTCTAGTGTCACATTAAATTGGTCTGCCAGTTCTTGTTGCGTTTGGGCGTCATTCTCATCCAACAATGCTTGCAATTTGCGATCTTCAAACGTTTTCGGTGGTCTTCCACGTTTTTCGTCACTAATGTCAAAATCGACAAAATCGTCAAAGCTGTACGCATATGGTACTTTTCAGGAACAGAATTTTACATGTTCAACACAATTAAAAACTGTACTGTTATGTAAAACTTTTATTGTTAGGGTTTGGAAATCTTTGTCACATGTTAAAACAATGAAATGGACCCACTAACGCGATTTGTTGGTAATTAAATTTATAGCTACTGCCATCTATGTGCAAATTCCGATTTTATATTTACACACCTGTTAAAAAATATCGTAAGTAACAGTTGTTCAAAGGCAGTCAATTGTTGATGTTGGCGTTTGCAGCTCTCACTGTGCTCGCTCTCAACACCATTTTTCACAGCCATAAATGCTATATCTAGATTTTCTAAACAATATTTCTTTCTCTTGTCATTCTGTTTAAAGTGTTTTTTTATGAAATTTCAACAAAAATTTCCCCTTTTTTATTTTAACTGCATTCTTGGATGTTAACAAAATATTATTTTAGGGTTACGTTCACAAAGTGAACCGTGACTGAACGCTTATGGTTGCGCCTTGTCCGTCTAGGCAATCCTGTCCCCTTCCTAGTGGTCATAATTGTTGATATAGAGAGCTAAAATTTAGAAAACATTTATTTTTACGTGTAAATTATAGAAAAATTACAGCAAACCTATTTGGAGATTATGGTCAAGAAAAAGCCACAATTTTTTTTTCGCAAAATGCCTAAAAATGTCCACTTCTCTAGCGGCCACAGTTTTTGACATTAAGTGCTAAAATTTGGTGAACATATGTATTTTTACGTGAAAGTTATAGGAAAGTTATAGGAAAGTTATAGGGAGCATGATTGAAGTTAAAAATCATAAGGTTGTAATAGAAAAACTAATGATTTTCGAAAAAATCTTTATAAAGATTATTATTATATATATATATATATATATATATATATATATATATATTATTTATTTATATTTACGTGTAGATTATTTTCAAATATTTTACATTTCCCAACCTATTATTTTCCAATCTTTCATTTTCATAACACATTCTAAAAAAACGGACACATTTTTTTGGGATACCATGAATGTTCGGCTCATGCCATTACTCATTGTCAGTCAAACTGTAATCTACACGTAAAAATAAACCTGTATAATGTGTTTCCCTAGTTCCAAAATTGAAGAAGTTAAGGCTGATAAGGGTCAATTTTTGGAATTAAAAAAAATAATTTCTTTCATAAGTTGTATTCGAGACAATCAATCGGGTTGGCTATATTTTTTCTAATCTGCACGTAATCCTACCTATTTGTACCAATTTTTATCTCACTAGGTCCAAAATTGTAGAAGTTAGAGGGGCCAAATTAAAAAAAATTTGTTGCATTTGTTTAAACAAATTTAAAAAAATGTTTAATGAAAGTACAAGTAATTCTAAGACAAAAATTATTCTTGGTATTTTTGCTTAACCCGTAGACTGTAAGGTGGTTTTAGACCTACGTTGACTGTACAGTTTTTCTAAAACAAGTTTTCTAATTTTTTTTTTCTAAAACTTATTTTTCTAATAAAGTCTAATTTCTAAAAAAAATTTTTCTAATAAAGTCTAATTTCTAAAAAAATTTTTTTCTAATAAAGTCTAATTTCTAAAAAATTTTTTTCTAATGATGGTGAATTTCTAAAAAATTTTATTTTGAAATGTTAATAAAATTGTTCAAGTTGAAAGTCAAATCATGTTTTGTTTTTCGGAAGCAACTTCGGAGAAGTGCGATAAGTTGTTTTTGTTTTAAGTAAAAAATTTGGGGGTTATAGATCAACGTTTTTAATCTAAATTTCAAGTTCGCAAATTTAAATTTAAAAAAAATGGTTGTGGAGCGTATTGCTAGCAGAAAAGGAAATTTCTTACACATTAATGGTTTTATATATTATTTTCAACGAGAAGCTAAGGGTAGATCGTATTGGAAGTGTAGAAACTTAGGAAAATGCAGTGCTCGCGCTATAACAACAAGCTCTGGCAGCAAAATAATAGTTCATAAAGGACCGGAAAAATCTATACATGAACATGCTCCTAATTTGGAAAAACCAAATGCTTTGAAAGTAGAGAATAATTTGAAGAGGTTAGCATCGGAACAACCGGAAGCACCCCCCGCGCAATGTCGATGGAACTTTTAAATCAGCACCAACAATATTCTTCCAACTGTTTGCTATTTTAGGTTCTATGAAACAGTGAGATATGACCATAGCATTACCGTTGGTTTATGCATTACTAGAAAATAAACAACAAATTGTGTATGAAAAAATTTTCGAAGTTATATTAAAAAAAGCAAGAGAGTTGAATATTAAAATCAATCTGCCGTCCCTAGTTATGACTGACTTCGAAGTGGGATTAATAAATGCAGCAAAAATGGCAGTTGGTGAGGATCGAGTTTGTTGCTGCTTCTTTCATTTATGCCAAAGCGTTTATAGGCATGTGCAAGCCAAAGGCCTCCAACGGGCTTACATGAATGAAGAGGACAGAAACATCAAAATTGGGTGTCACATGCTAACAGCGTTGGCTTTTGTACCTCCTCATGAAATTGGAAATCATTTCGACACTTTGATTGACGAATTACTAGAAGACCTCTTACCAATTGCTGATTATTTCGAGTAACGTATGTTCGTGGTAGACAAACAAGAGGAAGAAGAAGAGCAGTTCCTGCCCGATATCATCCACAATTATGGTGTCAATATAATGCGGTTTTGGACAATACAGCTCGAACCAACAACATATCCGAGGGTTGGCACAATCGATTGCAAGTTATCATTGGTCAAAAGCATCCAAGTATGTACGCGTTTCTAAGAGAACTACAAAAAGAGCAGGCAGATACCGAAAGTATGCTAAGGCAGTTGGAATTGGGTCAGAAAATTAGAAAAAGTTTTTCTTCCAAGCAAGAGAGGCTAAACGAAAGACTCCACACTATTGTATCGACGCATGATGACCACGTTGACAATGACATAATAACATATCTACGATCTATTGGTCACAATATACATTTTTAATAAATTATTATATTTACATTTTAAACAGAAAGTAAAAAGTTAAAATAAATTTTAGAAAACAGAACTTGTTAGAAAATTTTTTTTTAGAAATCAAACTTTGTCAGAAAATTTTTTTTTAGAAAACGGACTTCATTAGAAAACGCTTTTTTTAGAAAAAAAGGATTAGAAAATATTTTTTAGAAAAAGTGACCACCTATCATAGGGACAAATCATTATATTGCTAAAATGTTTATTTGTTTAAATAATTGTTTTGTTTAAACAAACAAAAACACGAAAAAAAATTTTTTTTCAAAAAATTATTTCAATTTCATTTATTAACGGGACATGCCCTTTCGTACAAAAGTACTCCTAAATTCTAATAGTTACGTAAGTAACAATACAAAATATAAAATATTAACTAAATCTAGGTAGGCGCTATAATGGTTAAAGTTCAGTATAAGTTTATACAGTAAAGAATAACATAAATCAAATCAAAGGAGAAGATTAATTTTTGATAAATTGAATCTGTTTTACCATTATATCAATTAATTTCAAAAATAATTGTTATTGTTCAATAATACTGATTTTCTCTAAATCACAATGTCTATTATAACTTTTAATATCAACTTTTTAAAAAATTTCAACCGGAGAGTAAAGCTTAAGAGTGGTAGTTTAAGGGAAAAAATACTGACAATCTTTATAAATAAAAGAATAAATTGACATTGTATTATTTATAAATCTTTATTAATGTTAAAAAAATTTTCTTAAAAAACGTCATTTCATAAAAAATAATAATAAATAAATAAAAATTATATAAAAAAAACATCAGAACTAAAAAAAAATTATTGGATGAAAAAAGTCAAAATTTAAAAAAAACTAGAATTTAACAAAAAATAGTATTATTCACCTTACACAATTCGTCACCGTTCACTGTAAGCATGG